CAATTTGTTAGCCGTGAATGCTGAATATAGCTCACTTATAGTTATACATGTAGCTATACATCAATACATCATCTATACACGTTGACTGAGTACGGCATATTGAGTACCATATTGGTGTCCTAGTAATAATTCTCTCGTTTATTTTTACATGCCCGGCTCCATACAACAAATACAAGCTTTTTAGTACAGCGCGATCATACCCTTAGGATCGGATCATATTTTTTGCACCACAGCCGGCACAGGATATATTTGCCCGTTACAATTTTAATACACGCATCTCCAATTTTATGTTTTATAAATCTACACATGTACTTATTTTCTTATAAGTTCACATTTATGCAAATAACAAGTAGTTGTTTATTATTTGTTATATATCCTTAGTTTCATCAAATACAACATAGGCTGCTTTTAGAGTTTTCAAGTCCGAACATTGTGCCAACAACACGAGGCCATCACATTATCATATTTCACACTATACTTTTTGATCTAACATTTAGGGACTATTGCGGCGTTTCGTCCTTCATGGACTCGTCAGCAGGGATTTGGGATTGGTATATGTGTGAGAAGGACACAGAATACAGAAACCGATTTGGATTACAGAGTGAATAAACATAAAAATAGCAATACATGCGTATGATTATTGTAAAATAAATGTAACTATATAAACTGTCTTACCAAATTTGCTGCTATTTTTTGTCAAACCAACTTACCAACACGTTACCGTTGGACCATGGTTGTAATTTCTCAGGACTGTTGTATAACTATAGCGCTTATATATATCAATTGCGATTGTACTAACTATGCGTTGGATATGTGTGAATGGCCCTTGGCTAAGCAATTTTTTCCGTTAGAGCCATTGCTAAAATTCCAAACGTCGAGACGGTAACAACGTACGTCACTTCTTTGTCTTGTACCAGAATGCAATCAATTGAATGGTGCGAGATTTCCATCGCTGCCGTAAACATCTTCGAGCTTGAGTTTCGAACGTCTCCCGCCAATTTCTTGAACGCAATATTCTGTTCTTGGTTTCGATTCGGTTGGTAGCCATGCAAAGAGTCACTGAACGCGCACCAATTTGTCTTTGGATCAACATACAGTTCTAACAAATACTCGATGATATCGCTTCGTTGCAAACAAATCGAGTGTGATGTTAGTTTGGTCGTGCAATACACAAACGCACCATGTCTGAGCCATACTCGTTCGCGCAATTGAATTTGGCGCGCTATAGCGCATATGCAGCCTTTGCCATTGGTATCAGTGTTGACAGCTAACTTCACTATATTCATTTAATAATCGTTAGATTTTAACTATTTGCATTTTTAAATATTAATATTAGAGGTTAGAGAGGTATAGAATATCAAATCAGCTTGCTCATTAACGCAATTTGTACACATGCGTCTGTCAACAGAACCTACACCTGGCTCAGCCATGCTATGGTAACGAACACCTCCAGATTTAATTACTTCACACATCGTGCGGGTTGTAATGTTATTTTCCACCTAAACCAAACTCCAATTTAAAAAAAAAATCATTAGTTATAGGTGTGCGGTAGCTTGGAATAGTTTACCTTGTGATCTTAAAAGATCTCAAACTATCCAATCTTTCAAAAATAAGTTTTAATTGAACGAAAGTATAATGTTGTCTATAACATTGTTACTTACTTTCTTTAACAATCTCTAACAGAACTTATATTACAGTTGCATGCTATGTCGCCATCTTGCTTACTTCCTCGTGGTCTATAATTAATGTTCATTATGCTAATTATGCTAAACACTACAGAAAGTAATCGTAATTTCCTTGCAATAATTTTTATATATATATAGCCTATTAGAAGATCATGCACTCATTTTGTTTTCTCTTTGTATATACATGGTTAGTTTTATATTGTGAAATAGCCCCGTATTGAAATAAAGTTGTAATGACATTCCCATATCTTGATTTTATGCGTTTTGAAACTAGATGAGCCTTCAGTCGTTCTAAAATGCACCAAAAATTAATTTTCGATCAGCGGCCTTCTTTTCCATAACTGCCTGTCTTTTTCATAGCTGGTCCGTCTTTTCCATAAGTGTCCGTGTTTAACTGATTGTCTTCTCTTTAAGCTCTTGGCTTTGTCGTCCGTGTCTGCGTGTCCATGTGTCCATGTGGCCGCGTGTCCATGTGTCCGCGTTCGAGTGTCCGTGCCCGCGTTTTCCAGTGTATACACTTTTCCAGTGTCTAACGAATTATAATGTTATCATGAATTATTATGCATAATTCTGTTTACAATCTTGAAGATCTGCACTCATTAGTTACACTCTTGTGATTTCTTTGTGCACCATACAGTAGGTGTTGTGCATACCATCGTCGAAGGGATTGAAATAATATATACTTTCAAGACGATCACTTTTGACCAGGTAAGCTTCCTGCTATCAGAGCACTGTTTGAACATTATTTCATAGGATGCGCGCCTTTACTAGTATTTAACTAAAGCGCCTGTTCATATAATCCCTCTTACCGGGACGTCTCGCTTACCGATGATCTCGCCGCCTAGTTATTTTCCTACAAAATTTTGCATTGTGTTCATATGAGAAAGCCAGCTGGCCCGCTTGCCGAGATCTAGCTTGAATTTGCCGAGATCATAGGTAGGCGGGATGAAAATTTTTCCATATGAACACGCCAGCACGCTTACCGGGATGAAGTCAAACTTGCCGCCACACTTTTTACTTAGTTTTATGTTTGTTAGTTGTAAACAAGTATTGAATATTATATGCACCTAAAGCAATACTTTTCCTTGAAAATAAACGAAGAAAAAACCCTAAAATTAAATCGCTAAATATTTGTGCTGCTTAACTGAAATGTAGATGTTTTGCATACGCTAATTATAGAACTACATTGTAATTTCATCTCGGCAAGCGGGACGAAATACTCCATTAAGTCCATTTAACGCACGGAAATATTCGTCTCGCTAGGCAAGACGTCTCGGTAAGTGGGATCATATGAACAGCCCCTAAAGCGGCAAGTTGATAGGGTTATACAGTACTTACAATAACACTATATATATAATTACTATCAGTAGAGTTTGGTGTTGGAATGCTTTGATATTTCAATTACTATATATGTTTTTAATTTTGCAGCAAAAGCAAAAGTTTGTTATACTGCAGACTAAGTGTAATACATTTTGAAACTCCTGGTCAAATATCGCCTGTGGCGGACTGGATAAATATACAGGCCTCATTTGTAAACATAATTCGTTTGCACATGCCTGTTCCAAGCTAAAAAAATACACGCACACAATGTTACGAAAAGCTTGAATAGCGCTCCCACTTCAGTGAAACGTCTCATTCTGTGAACTTCATCGCGTAGTTTTCGAAGAGAATCAGAATAAGTGAGGGTAAATACAATCACTAGCTACTAGTGTCCGGGGAACACCTTTTCCAGAGGACTGTATCGGCCGTGACATTTGTTTATAATAATTAAAAAATCATTAATCACTCATGAAGAAAACACAAAGAAAAATCATAAGCGTATCGTATCTCTACTGTATATGTGATACTGATTCATGTTGATTTACATATACTTTAACTTTGATTTTCTCGGCTTAGACAACGTTTATTTTTAAAATTACTTCGCCAATGAACTCATAAGATGAGGCGTTTTTTAAGTTGTTTACAACATTCACGTCCGTGTTGTATCAGATATACAAACTCTCGCCTTCGGCTCGAGTTTGTATATCTGATACAACACGGCCGCTCATGTTGTAAACATTACTTATGGAATCGGTTTCTTGCCTGCTACCGCTACGCTTTAAATTAAATTAAATAAATTAAAATAAAATCTAAATCTGAAATGTGTTTGTTACTCTATTATTCGTTTCGAAGAGTCTGTTTTATGTATGAATGTTTCTACATGCGACAATTTAAAATTATTTGGCAAATTTGGCATGCAAATGAACAAACATATACGTCGGTCAACAGATGCTCTTTGTTAAAGTTTGAATATTTGGATAGTCATCCGTGCGCTATATCATATGCCTGTGGCAGTGTTCCTTTAAAAGTTTTAAATTGTTTACATTTAAATGTAAACAATTACAGCATTTTACTGTATGCCTATTCTAATGTTTGTTAAAGATGGAAGACAGTGTCCGTGCCCGCGTTTTTCAATATAGACACATTTTCCTGGTCTAACGAATTATCACAAATTACCATGCCTAATGTCTGTTTACAATCTTAAAGACCACTCGTTAAGCCCGCCGCACACCAGAGAAACTTGCTGAGCTAAAAGCCTCGCGAGGCGGTTAGCTCAACACGCTTGCTCTCGTGTGCGGATAGTTTTCGTGAGGATTTGACCTCTCGAGGCCTTGAGGAAAATATCTATATCGTATTTGATATTTTTCGCCTCGCGAGGAAAAAATCTCGGCGTCTGCGGATGTTGTGAGCTAAGTGCTGAGCTGTTTGAATCAATTAGCAAATGAGAAACCATGGTTTCTTCATGTGACTTGGAACAAAATGGAGGAAAATGCAAATGATTTTGTCAATTATGTTGTCGTTGAGTAGTTTTCCCAACGTGTGCGGTGAAAATACATGGCTGAGGTAGCTGCCACGCGAGGCGGTTAGCTCAGCAAGTTGCTCTCGTGTGCGGCGGGCTTTCGGGACACTCTTGTGATTTTATTGTGCGCCTTAACTGCTGTGTTATACCATCGACAAAGTAATTCAAATAATATACTTTCAGGGCGATTCCTTTAGAAATACACCCGTGTAAGCTTCCTGCCATCAGAGCACAGTTTAAACGTCATTTCTTAGCACCAACCGTGCTGTAACTAGTATTAAACTGGCCTGCGTAGCGGCTCTCAGGGAAAGGAGAGCCTGCACGAGATCAATCTCCTACCCAGTGTATGCCCGTTCGCAGGTTAGGTGCTGGGCATGACTGTGGAGAAACGGAATGACCGGATATCCAATTTTGGTTAGTTGTGCGCATGGTCTTCTTCAATTCGCAACACTAAATTCGCGCGGGCGTCATTAGTTACAATTATAAATAAAATCGTAGAATTTGTCGAAAATTTGATACTTATTACATTCTAATCAATTAAAAAATATTTATTTTCTTCTGCTCAAAGTTACAGAGTATAAATATATATGCGGTGTTTAAAGTAAGCATTTTTATGTATTTTATACGGTCAAGAAATGGTTTCGAGACTTCACAAGAAGGCCACTGACAGAGGTTTATTAAAGGATGACTGTTGTATTTTTACTATTTTACAAGTTATAATGCTCTAGATTATTACATATACAATTACTCAGTTTTTATAATATTGAAATATCTGGAATGTTTTATATGCCACTGTTGACCTGTGACTGGTTAACCTAATTTATTTATTCAAATACTTTGGTGCATTGATGTAGCTACTGATGCTTAAAATAAGTATATAAAAATACTTCCCTCTGTATCATTTGCATTTATCTAACATTATGCATTTTTAATTTCATTTTCACAGTTCCATGTTAATTATATCAATTTAATTTATTTAATTGAGTTATAAAATATGTTTACAATTATTGATGCTTGAAAATAACTTACTTAATTAAGTGGAATTATGAATAAAATATTATCATAACTATTGGATTTAACAATTAACACAGGACAATGTCATCGGGTCGGGTGCCTGTCTGAAAGGTGGCAGGCAAGGCAGGGTGTTGCTAAATTGCCTATCCAAATACTAGCTAGGGGGCACTGATTGGGAAATCTGTCATTATTGGGGTTGTAGGGTAAGCTACATTACCCTGACCTCCTGACATTGCTGCAAATCCCTGGGAGTTAAATCATAACTTTTATATGCTGATGTATGCCTGCAACAGGCAGAGTTGCAAAACCTGTTCAAATTTCCTCCGGTAAAATTTAAAGTTTTCAAACCTTCCTCAAAATAAATTGAATAAATACTAAAATATGGCTGCATCAAATACTGGCAATATACTAGAGTATATAAACTTAAAGATGCGGTCAAGTCCGTTCTGCGCATATATTCTGCGCATCAAAACATTCCATCAGTGGGGGAGCAACCTTAGGATATGTGTTGTCAATATTGTCAATATTTTGCACCTTCCGA